TAGTGGTCCGAAGTAGTTAAACTTTGTACATTTAACAGGGACTGGTAGAGCTACTAATACTTAGAATATCTCAATGACAGTGGTGATCTCATTGATTTTGCTGGATTATTGCATTATGAAGGGGTACATAGCAAATCACCCAAAAGCATAGAAATGTAAACAGTCATGAAGACATATAGCTTGTAATTACAATATGAGAAATTATGCCTAGAAAAAATTATGCCTGGAATATAATATTACCAGCTGTAATCAAAACCCTCTGTAAAATGCTATGACTTAAAGAAGGCTAGGATGATCCTGGACTAAGAGAAAAGGAGAGTTTGATTCATGTTACCTAAATACCTAACACTGATAAGGCTGCTACTGAAATATTGATCRTATATTTTGTATCCTGGGTGAATGCAGAATAGTAAGAGGAGACCAAATTATGTTGAGCGAGGAGTTTTCAGAGCAAATGTTTGTGTGGTTGTGTGCAATCAGTCACAGATTAATGTGGGTTTGCATGCATTGGCTGGCAAAGAAAGCGCCAGGTCTGATTTGAAATGTATCTATGAAACTGCTGGTCTTCTTACCTGTGTGGGTGCAGTGGGGGAAGCCCAGTCCTGCAGTTGTGATGCCATGTGTCCTTGGACCACTCTGGCATCTGTTGTGCTTAATGAAGAAGAGGTGTGGAAGGTTCAGATGTTGATTATTTTCTTTTGGTTTTTCATGGAAAGTATTTTTGCTAGGGTAAAGTTCCTTATCTTGTTGAACTTCTAAATTTCTCCCCTCTGATACGTATCTCAGTTTCTGGGTGCACGTTTTTCTTCTCATTTTGCATCATTTAAGGTTCCCCATGACTGAACAGGTTGCTAAGCCAAATGAACAGGTATTTTGCAACTCTGGGTATGCATTTGAGCTGCCTGGGTCCTGTCTGTGTATTTAGGGTTGGGTTGATTTCCCCCAAGCCAGATTGGCAGAGATTGGAAGAATTCTTCACCTTTCTGTCAAGTACATGCTACATCTAACTTTCTGAGGTCATTTGGATGTTGTTCATGTGTTTCCCTATATCAGAGCCTTCTGAGGTACTCTCAGTTTCTTTTGCTTCTTGCCCGAGCCGTGTATTCAGTTTYATTGAAGAACAAATGTATTCTGTCACTGAAATATGTAGGTTTGTTACTGAGATTGTACAGCTTGCTCTTGTACACAGAAAGCCAGCTGCTGCAATTTAATGGTTATAGGCAGACTAATGTTTAGCAAAGTGAGATTTAAAAAGGAAAACCACCCCTCTGCCAGTAAGCTTAGACACAGACCAGATGAGGAACATGCAATGAAATGTATTAAGTATAATACCAGATAAATATTTCCTCACACATGACAGTGGAGAAGGAAAATTCATATCCTTCACACATCAAAAAAAAAAAAAAAATCCTTTGCCACATACAGTGATGCTTAAAAATATTTGTGGATCACTGTGTAACTGGTTCAGATGGGGAAAAAAAAATTAAAAGCCCAGGCTTTGAGGACAGTAACATYATATTGTATTCTGGATTGAACATTTCTGTAAAATCAAATACYGTTCAGGTGTCAGTGTTTCTAAAGGTAATTAATTTCATTTGTTTTGKGTTTGAAATCAATTTTGAAGTAGATCTTAGAAAGCATTGTGTATAGTGAGAAAGCAAATAATTTTGATATGTGCAAATTGTTTGGGAGAAAGTTAAATGGCCTGATAATATAAAATACCTAGAATCAGAAGTTGCCTTTTACATTGCTTATAATGTTAATATAGCAGAAAAATGACAAAAGAAAATATACCATTTGGGTTCTGAAGCAAAATAAATTCAGACAGGAAAACTGAATATATGTAGTATCATGTAGTATTAGATAATGGATTAAGAAGAGCTGAACTGGCTGTCTTTGACTTTTAAAATGAAGATTAGATACTTCTCAGTGAATGGATCAGAGCTCAGAGAAATGTCTGCCAGAACATATTCTTCAGTCCTTGCTATACTAGTGATAACTGAGATGATCTGTTTGCAGAGATCACTTGGCCACTGACTATCAGCTAGCGGTGCTGAAATATCTCCACAGATMTTACCATGCTGTTCTATTGTGTAAGTGTCTAAATGTATTTCATAGTGAAGGCAGCCCTTGAATTCCACACAGGGCTCACAAATGCATGGTGCATCCAGCAGGGTTCTGCATGTTACACAGGTTATTTTATATAAAACTATGAAATTATATTGGCATTTTTCAAGAGGGTTGTCTGATATACTGACTGTCATTTCTGTGTAAACAAGGATGAACAGTGCATTCATGAGAACATGAATGTTTTAAAGTCATAAGACCGCTTTTTCTTTCTGTTGACATACTTTTCCTTTCACTGTAAATATATTGTTTCTTGCTTTTCATGATTGGTCTTGTAAAAGCAGAAAGGAAACATAAATGTGCTTTAGAAAGAAATTTAGGAAGTACAAAGAGGAAATTTTCTGAATGAGCTACTTAATGCTTTCAATTTGCATGCAGCARTAAAAATAAAAGCTCAGTAGCTATGATTTCTGTATTGACTTTAGGAAAACATTGTGAAATTAATTCCGCGTAATACTTGCAAAAAATGTGGTTTAATCAGGGATGTGTTTAGTACTGTTAAACAAAGTCAGAAGGTGAAACGTATRCCTATACTGAAGTGAGTACAACAGTTAATAGCTTGGAAAACTATGGTGAGTTCCACTTCAGAATACAACTGTCAGCTACCTGACTCTTGTCTGACATAAGTAATCCTGTCCTGTCTGGGATGCTTCCACTGTAATCTGTTTATTAGGATACAGTGTAGGTTCTGCGTTGTTTGAAAGAGTATCTTTTCATTCATTTTGTCTTAAGAATCAGAGTTTCTCAAGGCTTCACAAGAAATTTGATTTATAGAGGAAACATCCACTAACTGTTGAGTAAAAACAGTCTTTTTAATAATACAGTCTTGTAGATTGTTTTGTTAGAATGACCTTTTCAGCAACACATGACTATATATTGCATTGTAAATATGCCAGACTGTAGTTTAAGGCTGTGGAGGGAAGTGAGAGCTATCTTCTCTTCTAAGTTACAGTCAGCAATGTAGGAGTCTTCAAAAATAACAATTCTTAAATTTTTATGTTAACAGTTCCAGTTCTGCTTAATTAAATAATTTTGCCCATTTAAAATTAATCGTAATTTTACAGCTGTATAAACGATCATTTACATGTTTAAGTTTGTTTGCATGCTTGAAGATTCAAAGTTAAATAACCTGCAAAATACATGTTGTAATTGRCAGAGTCATGCTGTTACAACTTGTTATTTAATCTGAGTTTTACCCTGTAAAATTGATAGCTGCTTGAGATACTACAGTTATACTTACATACAGTTTAGTTACAGTCATTAGCATGTATGGTTATTCTTTTATAAAGGTTTTACGAAACAGTAACTTGTCTGTATAATATGGGCTAATCAATAGGTTTCTTTCTAGTTTTAGTAGAATCTCTTGAATTATTTTGCCTTTTGAAGGTCATTTTTTGAAAGCTTAAAACTGAGAGACTACATTTATATTAAATGTTRAAAGAAAKTCATTATTGTGAGGGTGGTAGGCACTGGAACAGGTTGCCCAGAGAGCTGTAAGTGCCTCATCCCTGGAAGTGTTCAAATGAAGGCTGGATGCAGCACTGAKCAACCTGTTCTAGAAGGTGTCCCTGCTCATAGCAGGGGGCTTGGAAATGAATGATCTTAATGGTCCTTCCAACCCAAACCATTCTGTACCTCTATGATTTTGTGATTAATTTCTTATATCAGTTTTTTACCCCCCCATGGTTTTATGCTTTCTCCACTCTCTACTTTTCTCTAGAAAAACATGATCTTTTTTTCAAGGCAATTGTAAGATATATTGGTGTATTTTATTTTTTTATTTATCCTATAATATTTTCTAAAAATATATCTTAAGGGTAAAAATACTTTTACACTTGCGCCCATGTTTTTTTGCATACTAAACCACCATAAACATAGAGGCAGCRCTATTTATACAAGCATAAATTATTGCTTAGTGATCAAAACTGGATAATCTGAAAAGCACTGGTTTTCTTTGAGTGAAGAGATAGAATATAAATAAAATAATTTCATGGGTTGAGACATCTTCTGAAATGCATGTATGGGAAATAGAAATTGCAATTTTGTTATAGTAAGGGGTTGTTCATCCTCTTTGTTAAGCTTTAATTTCTTAAGATTAATTTTGATATTGSTGGTTTATAGGTAATATATTTTATACTTTAAATTTGTAATCCTTTTTTGTAGAAATCCAAAAGACAGATATGCTTAAAATTAAGTGATAAAAGTTTCATATAGTTTTTGGGGKTTTTTTTGAGGATATTACGGATTGGTAAGAAAGGTATCTGAATTATGATCAGAATTGTGCCAGTTTTCCTACCTGTGCTTTTGTAAACATATATGCACTGAAAAAATGTAAAATTTAGTTGTGTTGTTCTGACACCAGGGAAAAACAACCTGTTTCTTTTCAAGTGAATAGGTAGTGAAACAACAGAAATTTTGGTGTTAGCTTTAAAAATGTTTGATGTGTCTCCTACTGAATTTTTATTTTTGGAAGTATGCAAGAACAACAAACTAGCATGTTACGCATCAGAAGGTTTAGATGTTGCTTAGTGGGATATGCAGCAGCTGAATCTAAGGAGATTAATTGATCCTGACTCGTAGAATTTTAGAAAACCTATACTTCCTATGTTCATAAATTTCTAAGTCTAATTGAAACCAAGTCTGTACAAAAATGCTGATATCAAATAAAACATATCTTTTAGTTTCCTTTAGGTTACAATATACTATGAAAACACGATAGATGAAAAGCTGATTTTCTGTTCATATAAACATAGATTTCTCCACAGATGCAGTACTTGATTAGAAGTACTATACCACATGATTATTCATTTCTCATAGGAAACACTCTTGTGCTTACTATGTTTCCTTTCAAATAATTTCTTTCTCTTTTCTAGTTTGAGGGTTGCAAGAAAGCCTTTTCCAGACTAGAAAATCTCAAGATTCACTTGAGGAGCCATACGGGTGAAAAGCCGTACCTTTGCCAGCACCCTGGCTGCCAGAAAGCATTCAGCAACTCCAGCGACCGCGCCAAGCACCAGAGGACACACCTGGACACGGTAAGGACACAGATGTCCCTTTGCAGTCCCCTGTACCKTAGATCATCTGCTCCTTTCCTTCAGCTTGGTGACAGCACATAGCCCATAGCCTTAGAGACAGGAGAGGGGACAGTCTGATGGGGCTGTTGAAGTGGCTTCAAAAGTGACCCAGTAATGTAAGAACACAAGAACATGGACCAAGCTTGTTGATAAGACCACAGTTCCATGGCCTTGGCTGCMGGTAGAGGCAGAAACTCTCTCCCACTTAGTAGATCTTTAGGGAAACTGAAGCCTTCTGTGATAGTAAGTGCTTTTCTTTAACAAAAATTTAAGGCTGGGGCATGTAGCAAGGGAGGTAGAACAATTTTGCACATCTAAAAATTTTTATGCTAACAGATTGATTCTTGTAAATTTGAGTCACACCTGAGATTTGTTTAAAAACCTCAGTTTCTGACCAAAAGATCATATCTTCTCAGAGACAATTTCCAAAGGGCAGAAGTCCAGAAATACAGTAAAATCAATGTCATTTGACTTAAATGGCTGTTTAAAAAAAATTACCCATATTGAATAGTCAGTACTGGCTGGTGAGGTAATAATTTGTACAAGGTGTTTTCAGAAATGCTTTGTGAAACRTAAGTGGATAAATTGCAACATAGCTATTTTCAGGAAACAGTTGGACCTAATGGTCATTTAATACTCTATATTGTGAATCTGAAATTCTTCAGGGAAGGCAGACAGAACAGTCAGGAGTAGATACTTAGATGGGTTAGATTTATTGGGCTTTCTTTTAAGAAAACTATAAGGATATCACAGGACTGGTATTTTTCTAAAATGAAGTGTTATTAGAAAATGTGAGCTGGAGGAGTTGGTCAGTACTTCACATTGAAATGCGTATTTTTTTTGTCTGTAATAGTTTTGAAACTTCGGTATTCAGTGCTTGATTTGTTTTTGCTTGCCTCCTCTGTCATACAGTAAACTAACACGTTTTCTTGTTCTCTTTTTCTGAAGCGGATCCTTCTATAATCCTAAACAGTCTTTCTGGGCCTTTTCTGCAGTCTCTTTACCTGATTCACTAAAGACTGTAATTTCTGATTAAGTCAAAGATTGCTCTGAGGGTGGAAGAATTGTAAGTATATCTGGCAATATTCATCGTACTGACTAGAATAAAAAAAGGTAACAATGAAAGGTGCTGTAACGAAAGCCGTCCTTTTGTTTGTCTTCCTTAAAAGCTTTACTTTCATCCTTTCCCATTCTAACAAATTGCCAGGCATTCTGCTTGTAATAATGTACAATGCTTTTGTTCTGTAATAATGTGGTTTGCAGCATCCCAAGGCTCAAAAAGGATTCTCTTGAGTTGAAATAATCTGYGATATAACATCAGCTTTATCCTTTTCCTTTTTTGATTTAGAAACCTTATGCCTGTCAGATTCCGGGATGTACTAAGCGATACACAGATCCAAGTTCCCTGAGAAAGCATGTAAAAGCCCATTCTTCCAAAGATCAACAAGTCAGGAAAAAGGTAATTTTTCTACTGTCTTGACTGRTGTAAAGTTTATGTGAAGAAATCATTGTTATAATACTAGATGTTTTAACGAATCTTCAAGTACTTGGGTTGATTTCAGACTCTTCACTAGAAAAAAATTACAAATAATAGATATGGTACATATACGCATAATTTCATTGTTGACTTAATGAGGCTGCCTGATCTAATGCTTTTTGTTTTCTGATGTGATGTTTAATCATTAAACTTGCATGACGAAGTAAATAAAAATAATTTCTGCAAACAGAAATGCTTGGTTTTAAATTCTGCCACTTGGTAAATGCACAATATTACAAAATACTAGCCAGCCTCAGACAGGAGGATGGATTTTCAGGTCAGTATGTGAGATTAAGCTCTAAATTATATTTCCATATTCCAGATACTTCCAATACCAAAACGTTTCACAATGCTGATTCCCTGTGGATGTCAGGTCCATGAGTCAAAATCTGCTTATGTATATATCTCTAAAGAGCTGAGTTTCGACCTAAGGGAATCATTTTTTTTGAGCATTTTATATCATAGCTCCTATTGATCACTCACACTATCTTGTTAGATTGTTTCATTTGTTGAGTTTAAAAGTCTAAGCTTTCATTTTTAAGGAGCCTAGTCCTAATAAAAGGGAAACACGTATGAAGAGAGGCATAGATAAACCTTTCATATGTCAACCCCATGTTGAACAAGATATAGTTTAGAAGTTTTTTAATTAAATGCAGAGCCATTCATAGAAAGTAGCAAGAAAATTGCTTGTGCAGCTCTGGAAGCATTAAGTGGCAGTATTTAAAGCTGCAGTATAAAAATTGGAAGAGTAAATTTTGATTCAGTGGATTATTGAAGCAAAACATRGTAGCAGAAGCTGACCTGTGACTGTTATGAGAAATTGCCTTTAAATTTATGCATATCTACTCCTGTATCAAAGATGAAGTAAAGGAACATTCATTTTCACTTTAATAAGTAGTTGTTTGGCTCCCTTGTTCTGTGGAGCACTGCCCAWAGGCAGGACTGCCAAATGAGGTCTGTGAGCCTCATCCCATAAGTGCAACTGAGCCATCTTTTACAGACATGATCAACACATTGCATTCTGAGAAATTTGTGGGATGCCTAAACTAAAATTGGCATAATGGACCTTAATACAGTAAAGTCTGCTGTGGTGTCACTATCATTGAAGGTGAAATAACGTGTTATCATTTCTCTCACTTTGTCATGTTGCACTACTATGTCAGATTTTCCTTCCTGCATTTCAATCAGTATTTGATGTTGTTCACTTTTTATTCCCTCTTTGTGCCAAACAGTTTAAACTTGACCTTTTGGTTCCTCACTTCACAGTCTGTAGGCACATCCTAGACTTAAAATTCTCCATTTTTTTCATCCCTCTTTGATAAAGATTTATTTATTCTCACTGGGATATGGAAGGGGAAATAGGCCAACCTTCCTAAAAAAGAAAGAAAAAATCATGTCTTCTATCAAGCCAGATACTTAAAGCACAGACAGAGTTTGCATAATGTTTACCAGGCACAATATAGTGAGTTACTGGACCTTTGAGAAGTTACAATTAATAACTAGCGTTAAGCTATGGTATTTGAAATATTTCCTGGCGGTAATAATAATAAAAAATAACAACAACAAACCTTTTAATGAAGAATTAAGGTYATTTATGGATTTAATTAAAAGGGAAAATTGGCTTAGTGTCAAAAAGGTGATTACAAAAATGTGAATTCATCAAAAACAGCCATAAAAATTCCAAGGTGATAAAGGCACAGTGGACTAATACTTCCAGCCCTAGGGATCTATTCTGTTGAAAAGAATGAAACCTTTTGCTGTCACACCCCGTTAGTCATGGATTCCTTTAATATACCGTGCCTGACTGCTTTTAATCCTCCTTTTAACCTCCCTCTGCATACCAAGTGACATTATTGTGGCATCTTAAGTTGCTGGCTCTCCAAGACTGTACCTGCAAATGTGTCTTTGATGTTTTATAGACTTAAATAGCAGGATGAAGTATGTTCATAACAGTGAAAGCAGCTACTGGCTGTGCTGATGTTTACATTGTCTTCAACCCAGATTCTGTAGCTGTTTCTTCAAATATTTGACTCTTTCCTTGGTTCTCTAAAATGGGGCTGGATTATACAACGGGTTACAGGTGAACTTCCATCTCTGMATTATTTTAAGCAACTTCTGTTGATATGTCTGTGACTTATCATGTAAGGCAAAAATGCCTTTTCTGCAAATCCATAATGCAGCCACTGTTCCCCTTCTCCCAACCCCTAGTTATCCACTAAATACATTTAACTGGGAATCTCTTCAGGTAATGAGATGAAATCCTATATACTAAGAAGATCCCAGCAAAAATGCATTTAATGAGAGCAATTTAATGGATAGTACAATAAAATTTCATTTACTCTTCAAAGGAAAGCAGAGCCATGYGAGAGTGAAGATAGTCATGCTTGCTTTAATCATCTTTGAGTAATTTGAAAAATTCTTCATAAAATGAGGGCAAACATGTACACGAATACCATGCAAATATCTGGGAACAGATACTGAAAATGTTTAGTAAAATATTTTAGATATAATCACCATGCATCGTAGTATTTAGTCTGTACTTTTAAAATACGTTGCTGGGATAAAAAGCAGTGTTTATGGTCATATTTTAAAAAGGAAAAAATGCTGATTCTACCAGGATTTCATCATCCCATCAGAAGATAGATGGGGCTTCTTCTAAGCCAGCAAGTTGGTGAAAGAAAACTATACAGTACCCAAAATGAGAGATTAAAGTGATGCTGAGAGAAATGTTAACATGCCCCTGAACTATAACTACTTTTGAAACGTGTTCTYTTTTTAATCTTGTTCTCACTTCAGCTTTGAAAGGACAACAATTTACAAGATGTTTTGGGTAAGCTGGCTAGACAAGTAAGCCTATTTCCAGTTGGTTACACTTTTCCGATTTCAGTAAAGCACAAATGTCTTTCATCTGTGAACTGATGGTACTGTATTCCAAATCAAGWATCCATAGCTCTTCTAGTATGTAAGTCTTTTTGTTGAAGTTAGTGAAAATGAAATTACAGAATATATTGATACTGCAGTCAGACAGATAAAACTTTCTAACAGAGTTTTGAATATTAGAGAGCAGGCATTCTTTACTGCAGCATGCTCATCACTCAGAGGATCCTTCTTCCAATCAGATGTCCCTGTTGGGTGAACAGAGTATTTATATGCAAAAACGATCACACATTCATTAGCTATCCCCGCTTACTTGATGTATATGTTTTACTTTATTTTACAGTCTCACCCCTTATCAGAAGTCCTTATAGGTTCTTTGGGTTCTGTTTTCAGTGTCTTGTGTCCTTTCTAGGTGGCTGTTCCTTGATCCCCACTTTTGAGTAAGCCCATTATCGTTTTGCATAACRTCTGCTTTGTCAGCCTTGCAGAGCTGACCTGGTATCCTGCTTGTCTTTTGTGTGACTTCTGATTGCCTGACCTACATCCTTTATCTATTTCTCCAAGGCTGTGCTGTTCTGTTCTACTGTCCTTGATTAAAGTAAAATGCTGTTCTGTTCACTCATATCATTCATATCATTCTACTCATTATCATGTCCTTATGCTATCATTAAAATCAAGATCCTGTGCTATTAGAACACAAAACCACAGAATGGGTCAGGTTGGAAGGGAGCACAGTGGTCGTCTGGTCCAGCCTCCCTGCTCTGGGTCATCCCAGAGCACATGGCACAGGACTGTGCCAGACAATTCTTGATTATCCCCAGTGAGGGAGACTCCACAGACTCTCTGGGCAACCTGTTCCAGTGCTCAGTCATCTGSACAGTAAAGAAGTTCATCCTGGTGTTCTGGTGGAATCTCCTGTGCCTCAGTTTCTGCCCTTTCCCTCTTGTCCTATGACTGCTCAGCACCACTGAGAAGAGCCTGGTCCATYCTCTTGGCACCCTTCCTTCAGACACTTAGAGACATTGATGGGGTCCCTCTCACTCATTTCTGCTCAAGATTAAATAGGCCCAACCAACTCTCCCAGCCTTCTTTGTAAGAGACCCAATGTCTTGAAACCTGTACAGAAGGTCAGTACCACCATTATGCTCTTTATGAAAATACATTTGTTGTGTAAGCTAGCACTCAGGTTTGTACAARATCATCAAGCATACCATGAAAAGTTAGTTGGAATTTCTCTAGTAGTCATGCTGAAGAATTCTGTAGTTGTAAATATAAAGATTATATGAACTTTAAAATACTTCAGTGCAATTCCCAATGTGAGTGGAATGGATTCTCCACTGTTTTTGTGTAGATATTGTCATGAATATCTGCAATGTCCATTGCCTTTCTTCAAGGGTTGTTTTTTTTTTAAGTATGTTTTCAAACAGATAAGAGATAATTTAAAAAGGACAAAAAATTGCTCTGATTTTGTGCAGCTGGTTGGCAAGGACACGATCAGTTCAGTAACATTGACCTCATCATCTGAACAATGCTGTGGCTATGCTTTTAGATAGATTTAATTTTATCCATAAGTGTTGTCACGTAAAATAGTTTTCTTTAAGCCAGTGTGTCCTGCCAAAAAAAAAAACAAAACCCAGAAAGATTCAAAAGATTGTTTCTATTTAATTAAAAGAAAGTGAAATAGATAAAGATAGAACTGGTCAGCTCTGTTTTTGTGAAAAAAAAAAAAGTAAAAGATAATTTGGACAGTTGACATAAACAAGACCAGCTAAAGGAAATGCAAAAGTCTTAAGTCTGGACTTTGATTTGAATGATGATTTATACCAAATAATTTCCTCTTTCAGCTGACCAGCTTTTGATTCCTTGGCAGTGTTAATAGTGACCAGATCATATCTTTCATGCTTTTATTTAAATTATTTATGGATCAGATTTGTTATTGAGACAAGCTCTGAGATATTGAATGTTTACCTGACAATTGTCTGTAAAAGCTGTCTGTCCAGTAAATCTGCACCATCTTAGCTCATTCAAATGAATCTTGAGGAGCC